TCCACATTTTACATTATTAGCTCACAGTTTTATACACTGAGTGACTACACTGCAGTGACTGAGCAGATTTGGAGTTATGTGTATTCAACAAAATTACCTTCAAAAGAACAACTTGTTTTTCCATCTCCCACATTTGCATTTGTGAGTTTGATCTTTTCAATATAATATCTCCACAGCTTTGACAAGTGGTGAAATCTATGAAAAGGTATTATGAATATGAGATTCATGTATTTCAGGAGCATATAGGTTCCCAGCTCAGCAAAGCAAAAACCAACCAAAACAGTTATTTACAGCTATTACACAAAACAACAAGCTGTTAATGCTGTACTGTGCTAACTAGCTGCTACAAGTCTGGTTCGCCTCCAGGCCTGAGGAAATTGGACTAGCAATTCAGTGTACTAATGAGTAGATTGATGAGAACAGGTTGGAAACTTGTATTACCTTGCTGGAAGCGTGTGTTGTTTCAGTGCATGCATGTTGAAAGGCTATAAACTATTTTTTTCACTTGTGTTCAAATGTGTTTTTTTGACTTGTCTGATAACATTTTACTGCCGTTGGCCAGTGTCTCTTAGGTATGTAAAAACCTTTTTTTTCATTTACCAATTTTGATGTTACGACTGCATTGCCACCTGCTAAAATTAGGCCTTTCCCCCTTTGAAAACCACAATATCTATATGCTCCCTTTCTAATAACAAGACTAAGACTTTATAGTGTTGCTTTGAGCGAGAGAAATAAAGTGCGGCAAAAAAAGAGTGGCTGAGAATTAGTAAGAGAGCGAAGCAGAGCGACAGCAATGCAGAGACAGAGAGAAAGAGAAAGGAAAGCAGACATGAGAGGGAAGGGATGCCGTGAGGGTTGCTGGGTAAAGCATGCGGAGATAAGAGCTGTTCAACAGGCCCTTAAGAACCTGGCAGGCCCACGTTTGAACTCTGAGGCTCAGTGGATCAGAGGCAGAAATCTCTTGGAATTAAACCACTAAAGCTGAGAAGAGAAGAAATCTTTACTTTTTCCACTTTCTTCACTGAAACTAATCGGTTTTATATTTGGTTGATCAATTTGTGAAAATGAACAATTTTCTCTCAAAGTTTGTTTTTTAAGAAATCAACATTTAAAAACTTTTACATTAATTTCACATTTTTAATCCAAATATATATGAATCCACACACACACACACACACACACACACACACACACACACACACACACACACACACACACACACACACACACACACACACACACACACACACACACACACGAGACATCTGTGTTCCATTAAGTACAGACAACAGACTTCTTATGAAGACATAAACAAATAGGCAATGGGGGCTCATTTGCTATAAACTGGGCAGGGGAAATGCCAAGATGACATTTACAGCCAAATGCTGTCCTGTCTGTTTCTGAGTATGTATGTGCTTTTGAGTGTGTATGTTTGTGTGAGACCACACTCCTGAGACTGACCAGAGAAACCTGATTTTTGTCATACAGGTGGAACTAATGCTATTATACCTCTATAATACGCTGTATTTAACGAGGTACACATGGATGAAGTGTTGAGTTTGTGAAGTATTTTCTTGCATTCTGTGAGAAGTATACACTATTCCTTCTGAATTTTGTGTTTCTTTATTCAAGACCCTGGAGTCCTGAACTACTACTGGAGGAAAGTTTGGACTGACTGTGGGGTGGAGTGCATGTTGGAGAGAGCCACATTGGTCTTGATTTTCAATCATTTGAACTTTGTCCAACAGCAGAAACATTTCAAAACAAGACTAAAACTCCACAGCCAGGCTGGCCCATTCACAGTGACGGCGCTAAGCAGGTTCACACTGTTAGTTTTGCGTGTTAGCATGATAATATCTTTTTTTTCATCAGAATTAACTTTCCATGAATGTCTGTAATCAAATCTTGCGCCAATCTAGTAGATGTTGGGATATTTCACTGGATAAGCCAACACATTTACCTCCTTTCAGTGCTAGATAGAGTTGTTCTGGTACGGTACTAGTATTAGAAATTCCTCTGATACCTCCTAAAATAAGGTTTCGGTGAGTATGCGGGTCTGTGCACCAATCCGATATCAAGTATTCATTAGCCTCCGAAATGAGACCCAGCTACTTCCCAGCAGTTCACCATTTTTTCCCAGGATAGCGAGGTCATGACCCACCCTACTCAAAGGGTTTAACCTGAGCTAGGCGGTACAACAATGATGGCAATCATCCAGGCTTAGTATCAGGAAGGGGAAAATGGTATCAGAAAATCTCTAGTGCTAGATGAAAAGACAGGATAAAAAGATATCTGTACCAAATGTCATGGTAATTCATTAAATAGTTGTTGACACCTTGGTTCTGAAGTCAGAGCATCACCAAAGTCAGAGGGATTCATCCTCTGGGGAGCATGAACATAATATTGAGACATTTCAGTCTGAACCCAACTGCTGAACCAACTGGCATTGCCATCCCTAGAGTTAGCTACTAGCATGCTAACAAGCAGAGAGGAGGAAAATTACAATGGCAGAGATTAAAGGTGTGTTCTTTCCCACAATAATGTGATGCTGCATCATAAGCCTCTCTTATAAAAAAATAAAGCTGACCTAGGTGTCTTAAAGTTGATGCTGTTTAGGAGCTTCCAGAATTCATTATAAATTTAGGGTCTGCCATTCATCTCCTCTCTGTATGCCTGCCTAGTCTTGTTCAAATGATGAATATTTCCATAAATGCATTGATTTTTTTTAACGCAAGAGTGGACACACTGTAACTACACAAAAGTTACCGAGGCTTTTCTCTGTGCATAGCTCAAAACGCTAAAGCTGCAGAAATCCATTTAAAAAATAAAAAAAAACTATAACCATCTTGAGTTCAATCTGAAATGGAATCCAACAAAAAGTAGCTATCTTATTTGAGCTTGAACTTGAGTGAGAGAAAGGGGTAAAGGGGAGAGAGGGTGAGAAGAGTATGAAAGTAAGAACAGATGAGTCAGTTGATGTCTCATCTTCAAACTCCGACAGCATCCAGTGTCTCACTCAGTCAGTGAATCAGCTTTAATCAACTGGCCTACATCTAAAGCACAGGTTCTTTACAACCGTAGCCCTCTGACTGCCAACGCTTTTGAAGACTTCTTCTGATTTATTACATGGTGGGAGTGACATAAAAGACAGAAGGGTCCCCTTGTATTAGTTGTAATTGTATTGGTTTTGTCGCTCTTTTCTTCAGTGTAACCACCAGAGGGGAGATAGAGTAAAACTCACATGTGCAGGACCTCTGAAGTGTTAAGACTTATTTTTCATTCATGTGAGGAATAATATTACTCTGCAGTGATTTTAATAAATTAAAATCCGAACAATGGCAATAGTGACAAGGTCTGCTACTGTGATCCAAGGTGTCAGTCATACAAATTCTCCTTCTTTACTCACACTGAGTGGGAACTGTTATTTTCAGACTTTTCAGACATGTTTTAAGAACTTATGCGCCTTTTCAAAAAAGCTTTGTTAACAAATGGCAGTGCAGTGGAAAGTCACTTTACATTTTACCAAACCTGAATAAGCAAGTAGGGAAGTCTTTTTTTTAAGTAATTTTGTGTAAATTATTAAGTACAAATATACATTTTACGTACTGTATGTTCTGTGGAAAGTCTTACTGTAAAGAAATCCTCACTGAGTACCCACATCTAGTGCTATCTAAAGTAAACATCAACCTCTGCAAGGCATTTCTTGTTTTGTCCCTTTTAAAGGGTAGTTATAGCCTTTAAGCCTTGAGCATGTGCAACAGCAGCCCAATGCATAGTCAGCTTTAATTAATCATCTGTAACACTGCTCGGAATACAATGTCGTCTTTGGAATAATGGCATAAGGGTATAACATTACACAAAAGTGTCAGTATAAAAACAAACCTCTCTTTTTTTTCCCGGCATTGCTTTAAAATGTCTGCTCTTACTTCTCCTACCCCTGTTCCTACCCTCTCATTGCCACCCTGATCCTCTCCTCCCTCTACGCCTCCTCTCGTCCTCTCATCTTCATGTGGATGGATACATTGCCCTTGGCACAGAACTTGGTAGTCTGTATGGCAAGCTAGCCAGCAAGTAAAACTATATGGACTTGGAGAGAAATGCATGCTTGCATTTGAGTTAATAGTCCAGCTTGTGAGGTAATTAAGGTAATACAAATGAGCAATGCAGTGCACAGACATAAGGAGAGAGCAAAACAAAGGAGCACTTCGGAGTAACTGCAGGCTCATGTTACTTTGGTAATCACCAGCTGGACACATACCCCTGTATGGTCTGTACTGAGTTGAAGTTAGGATAAAGCTTGGGTATAGCAACCAGACTTTGCTGGTCACCTTTTCATTAAGTGAAATGACTAATATCTGTATCTATATCTTTCTATTTTTATATATTGTGTTTTGTTTTTTTAAAGTTAAAGAGTAAAGTAATATAAGGGAGATGTGAAAATACTCTAAACAGTAAAGTAATAATATGTAAACAGAGAATGTAGAGGAACTGTGAATTAACAGATTGTAAAGACAGAATAGAAAACTGAAAAACTGTGCAGAAAAAAAGAAGAAAAAAAGAGGGAGAGCAGCCAAAGAGCAGAGATGATGTTTGTATGTGATGATATTAGACTGTGTTGCTACTGTTAAGAAGCCAGGTCCCCCAGTGAGCTGGCAACCAAAGTCACCTTCTGGCAGCTGTCTACTGTCATCTACTAATGCACTCACAACGACTTTTGAACCTCACAGTTAATGACCAGGGAGGTAATGGAGAGAGATTTAGGCCATGAACAGCTCTACAACAGCAGTCTGGTTGACTGTTTAGATGTTGTTTTTGCACACAACCGGGACATCTGAGCTTAATTTACCTCCATATAAAGCTACGTACAGTAAATCATCGTCAGCATCACCAGCTGGGTATGAAAACATGCAGTCTTTATGTCGGTGTGCATGCCCAGTCTGTGTCTCTCACTCCAAAGTAGGAAGCTTTATGGCGCCCCCTGTGTCTTGTGTGCACATTACCTGAAAATCCCTCTCTTCTAGAATTTCTTTCCTCCACCTCACCAGGAAGGCCGCACACACGTAGAGGTGGAAATGGGAGAAGCCCTCTGGTTCAGCCTAGTGAGAGAAAAGGAGAGAAGTGTTGAGCACAGACAAAGTATGACAAGTTTAACATTTCACAGTATGATACCTCCATCACAGCTATGTAACATTGTTCAAATATGAGCTTAAGGATGGAAGGAAAGCATGTCAGTGTGTTCAGAATACCTCAGATAGCTCATAGCTGCATTTTAAGATATATTTAGAAGCCTTTTTTACATGATGTATTTAGTCTGTATAGTATATCCACCAAAAAGAGGGAGAAGAGACGGACATCAACAGAATATAAAACATTTTTCTGTCACAATCCAGAAATTTACATTTGCAGTGCGATAGAGACAAAGAAGGCTACAAATCCCCTCTTCCTTGCAGAGCTTTTTTTTTTAAATTTCAGCCCCTCGTTTCGTTTGGCGGCTCACTTTTTTTATGGCTCTGCAATGAGCGGGGGAATTAGACAGGGTGAAAGACAAAGGATGAGATGTTCCTTGTTCTATTCATTTTTTTTTCTCCGGAACCCTATCACAGGAAGAATAATTACCAGGGCCTTTAAATGCAAGTGAATTAGGAGTATATGCCCCCACATGAAGGTGGGATAGAATATCCAATGCGCATCTCAACGTGCATGGTTTTCTGAATGCATGCTTGTACGTTTGTCTGGAGGTTTAGTTACCCACATATTGCATGTTATTTTAGCTTAAAATTCACAAATAAAGTGTAGAATTGCAGTCATGAATCCGTTACTCTACTGTATGAGCACTACCAAACATGCAAATGTACATGAAGAAACGTGTATACACTCACCCTCTTAGTATGAGCACGAATTGATGAATTATTCTGCAAATGTGCTTTCTGTGTGTCTACTTTGATACTATGTGGTGGTAATGAAGCAATCCTACATTAAAAAACAAAATTTACAGTTTTAGGAAACACACACACACGCACACGCACACACACACACAAACTGCTCTTTAATTCTATATTATTCTCTGTAGTCTCTTTGGCACAGGTGAGTTAATAAAGAGCCCGAAGCGACACACACGTTCCAAAGATTCAGCCATGTTTATCACATTTTACTACTCATTTACAGGATTTCAATTAGATAGAGGGTGTAGTATTATTCACTTCTACTTTGTCTGAGTACCCAACTGCAAGTGTTGCTCTTTAACCACCATACTCATTTGTGTAGAACAGTGAGCCATAACTCTGCAGGATTTAACAGAAACTGCCTTTCTGCTGTGATAATTGAATTTCCCTCTAGGAAAGAAGGAAGGAATGAACAGATGAAGAGTGGAGAGACAGATTTAAACACAGACATGGTGTGATACAGAAATAGTCTGGATGTCAGCTCTCCTTTACTGCATTGTTGCTCGCTCTTTCTAGACAGATTGGTCCTCCCTACGCCTTTGTGTACGTCTGTTGTTTGGGTTTCCTCTTACTTTACCTCCCACTTAGTTAAACCAATTTTCAGAATTCCCCAACTGAGTGTGTGTTTTGTGTGTGTGTGTGTTTGTGGGAGAGTGAGAGAGAGGGGAATATAGAGAAAGTTAGTAATAGAAAGAGAGAGTACAGGATGCGGAGAGGGAGGGGGGAGAGGGGTGTTTGTGAACAGCGAAGCGTAGCGTGATGTGAGTTGTAAACTGGCAGGTGATTGGCTTGTTGGTCTAACCTTGCAGCTCCAATCCAAACAACTGAAGCAAGCAAACACACGCTCTCACATGCACACACAAACACCGATGAGTGAGTGTATGAGTGGCATACGGGAGGGCACAGTGTTTATCAGTCCCCAAAGACTCGCACAGTTTTAATTTCCTTTCTTCTATTCGTTTTTTTGTGTGTATGTGAGTTCATTGTTTGAGGGCACCAATGAACACTTGGGGACTGTGAAACTCCAGTCTATTTTTCTGTCTCCACCTCTCCCTCTTTTTCAATCACCCCTCTATCCATCCTCTGCTCTCACAATCTGTCACCTCTTTGAGTCTATCACCCACTCTTCTCTCTCCCTTTCTCATTAATATGACCGAGCAATATTTCATAAACTATAAAGTGATGCATCTTTATCAAAAACAACTTCTGTCAACAAGTAATCTTGATATTTTGATTTGTCACCAATAATTTCCATCGCGCTCCAACCATTAACTTGAAATCTATTGCCTCCATTGTCTGCAGCACGAATGGCAGCCTGGCTGATGATGAATATATATGACTTTCTTTGTTTCTGTGCAACTCAGTCACTGGTATGACAAAGTGTTTAAAGTGCAAATTATGTGGTGCCACGGCATCTGCAGTCCAAGTGGGGGGAAAAAATGGGACATTACATAGTGGGATTGCTATGCACAGTCAAAATGTGTTTCCATGCAGCTTTAGCAATGAAGGCTAGGAGAAAGTCCTCAGTCTCTATGTCACTGGCTTGTGAGTCACGTTTACTGGTTTATAGTACTCAAAGGAAAAGTGTTCGGACGCACTCAAAAAATATATAACAGATACCACTCTCACGTCTGCATGTTATGTATGACACTAGAGCCAGGACACAGTTAGCTTAGCAAAGTAAAAAGACTATTTTTATATGAATTAACTAGTGAGCTTTAGAAATACCAAAAGGTGTGTTTTTTTTTACCTTTGGAGTGAGCGGGGCTAGCTGTTTCCCCCTGCTTCCAGTCTTTATGCTAAGCTATGTTTATTGCTCAGACACAAGGGTATACAATCAACAGATTACTTTTAATGGTAATAGCTGTTAGTTGCAGTCCCACTTGTTTTAAAGATTTTCACACCTAAATGTACAAAATAAAACTTACTTTTCTAAATAAATATATAAATGCAAGAATAATTAAACGTTACAGTGTGAGACTTCAAGATCTCTTCCTCTATCCCACCACCCATCGCTCTTTCTTTCTCTCTCCTGCCCTATCCAACCACTGCTGCTGCTTCAGCTCCAGGCTTTCTCATCATTATGATTTGCAAAATAAAGTTTGTCGTGAGAGTCAAGGTGACTCCGTCAAACTTGTCTCTACCTCTTCTCCTCCTCCATTGTTATGCTTGGTCCTCCACCCCCCTTGTGTCAGGGCAGCCATATTGGCTGAGACAGGCGAGACACTGACTGACAAGCGCTGCTGATCAAAGAAGGGAGAAAGTGGAGGGGGGGGTGCGAGGTAGTACTCAGGGAGAGAGGGGTAAGAGGAGAGGAGTCAATAGGGAGAAGGGGAAGATGTAATGGGGAGTGCATGAGAGACGGAGAGGGTGAGAGGCTAAAGGTAAACAGAGGAGGAAAGGGGAATACAGAGTGAGAAGCAGTACTGCAATGTCACAGTGTCTTTAAACTGCTGCGTTGGCTGTCTGACTAGTCTCATCTCTCCAAAACAAACCAGCCTGACGTGGGACTAACTCGATACCCTGACGAACCGACTCCAGACAAGGTGAAAAGGTGACAGTGCAGGGGACTGATGTAAGATGATAAACGAGCAGATTTAAACTGATGTAACAATTACGCAGAAGGAATATGATGAGCCGCTGACACTCGAGTGGTAGTTTTAAAGCTCTTTTTATATTATATGTGTATGGACAAGAGTGTGGCAGTGATTGGCGATAGTTTACATTAACTGCTACAAGCTGTACAACTATTCCTTTGGGCAATTCATCCCTAAGGGCCGGTATAGTGTGCACGGGGTGGCGTGTGTGTGACAGCAAGATGAATTTAAACACTAAACAGCATGGAAGGGATGTAAATTACAATGTAAGACTGATGACAAGGATGACAAGGACTCAGGTTGTGATGCAATCCATTTAAAAAGGATGGAAGGAGGCTTATAGGGGGAAAACATGACCAACGTTTACAATCAGAATTAACTACTGCATAGTTTCGGTCTGTGTGCATGTGCGTGCTTCTCCAATGTGGAGTCTTGCTTTAGGCTAGATTTTAAATTGCCAAGCACTAAGGTTAATCAGAGAGGAAAAAAGCAACAAAAAATAATAAAAATCTGAATTTCTACCTTGCCATGGGTTTAGTCCATTTCGAATACTTGCTGCATCTGCTTAACCTCAATCTACATTTATGTGTATATTACATTTGAAACAAAAGCATTTACCGGTGTGTGGGTGCATAAATACAGTACCTGAGAGTGAAAATACAGCGTGAAAGTGAAGATAGTATGCATGTATGAAAAGGAAAATATGCAGTGATGAGAAAATTGGAAACATAATAATGGAACCCAGTACATTAACCGTGCAATGTATGCCACCTCTGTGAAACTTATCATCATCTGTTTCATGCCGAGTTTGTGTCAGAGACAGGCAACAAAAGAGGAGAATTTTATGTGCAAGTGTGTGTATTTATAGACAGTAAGGCTTGATGTGTGTATAATCAGGGTCTTTTCTACAGAGGCTTGTTTGGAGTGACCAAAAGGCCAAACATTACCACAGATAGGAGACAAAGAGACAGAAAAATTGAGGAGGGCCACTTCCCTCTGGGATGGCAGCTGGCAGGTTAGTGTTTTACTCCTATTCAAGAGTGCATGTAACTCTTGTATATTCTGATAATTGACTATGGCACACATTTGTGAGTGAGCTAAAAGATATTAAGGTCTGAAGCACCGTATTTGGAAAGGTTATTTCTCTCGGATTTACTTTACAGAAACAATTCTATTTCTGATTAAACAATGCTGTCAAAGAACTCAAGCTCAATGGGAGCATTTATTTCACTGAAAAATTTGCTATTACGCTCTTATCGTTCACCTCTGTGGCACAATACTAGAAGGAAGAATGAATCTGTTTAAGACTCTGTGCATTTGATATTCAAATATGTGTAGGGTTTTATTTAGGGAGAGGGGAAGAGGTACGCAGGAGCCTCACCTCACGCTGCAAGTAGGACCGTCTTAGCAGGCAGCCTGCTAAAACTCCCTTAACAACACAGTTATGCAAATGCTGGTACGGTACAAATACGTCTAAATATACAAATAGCTGTCTTGCCAGGGACCTTTAATCTTTTATCACCACAATAAAAAAGTATCTTTTAGTCTACTTTATTT